GGGGCCGGCCGGCGCCGCCAGCCGCGGGAGGCTGAGCGCGCTGCGGGAGCTGCGGGCGCGCTCGGAAAAAGACTTCGGCGTTGGGATTCGGTTCCGAAAATCCGGGCGGGCCAGCAGTTGGCGTGCGCGGGCGTGAAACTTGTAGCAAACGGCGTAAGCCCAGAGGAAGACAGAAAGGCTGTTCAGGCAGTTGCGGTGACAGCTCTTCCTGTCTGTGTTTACGAACGAACGATCTTTAATCTCGTGCGTGTGCAGCAAATACAACGCAGTACATCTTAACTGATAAAATTACTCGCGCGTAGTTCGGAAACAAAATTATTCACCTTCACTTGTTGCCCGCTAACGCTTGCTTCTTTCTCAGCTGGTATGACGAGAACCTATACCTTAAATTTGTCAACCGTTTGTATTAGACGCGCTTGTTCTGTTCACCACTGTTTCATCCATTTGCATGGTGCCGTTTAATCTAAAAGCCTAAGAAATGCGCAGGAACTAAACCAGTAGGACTCTAATGAAACAGTCTCTATTTCTGTGGAATCTCAGAATTCTTTTAATTGCATTTACAATGTCCTGCTGTAGATCTAGTGCGGCTTAGCTTTTTCTATTAATTTATGAGTCCTCCATAAGTAGGAAAGTGTTTAGGTAGTTTTTAATCTGAAAAGAAAAAGCTCATCTCTTTCAGTTTTGCACTTTTAACATAGTTAGCTGTTAAATAAACATTGCGTAGTCAATGTTTTTGCAACTCTTATTTCTACATTGAATTAGTAGTAATATCGAAGTATAGATGTTTTTGCTCAGCAGTTTTGCACTTGCCAGGATAATGTCTATAAGCAAGTTTGAGACAACTGGAGGTTTTGAGTTGTGTGGCAAGACCAACAGCTCTGCTTTCTGTTACAGCCTTCTTGCTTGAGCTTACTTTTCTGTCTGTGTGAGGAGTGCTGAAGTTGCTTTAAACATCTGGCTGCTTTACAGAACGCTACTGAACAGTTAAACTGATCCCAGCCAGATGCACTGTCTCCCATACAAGCTGCGCTGCTTGTGTAGAGGGGTGTGAAGTGCCTATGTCTAGGAAGCAATAACCATCTGCTGATTCAGCTCTTGTTTTAGTGGGTCAGTGGATGGGATGGGGTGAGCCTGGTGGAGCAGATCTCACCCTCCCCACGTTCCCGTGGAAGGAATTAATGGTGAAGTTGCGAAGCAGGGAGCTTTAGGTTTGATTCTGCACTGCACCACAAACTTCCCGTTCTCTGTCTTTCTGTTCTGAGTTCTTGTACCAGTTGGAAATCAAAGTAAATACAGGACATGAGGAACACAATTATACCCTCTTTTATCTCTGATCACTAACCTGCTTCTTAGCCCTAATTCTTTACAGGTTCCCTGTTTGATCCTATACCTTACCACGCTTGAAGGAACTAAATTAATATAAACCAAACATATAAATACTGCTTGCCACGTCTGAATGCATCTGTTTCCAGCACATAATATAGGAAAGCCCAGGAGCAACAGATGAAGGATGTTTCTCTGAGTCCACTGTGTGTCTGATTATGGTCCTGATTGCTTCCAGCCATAAGCTGGTATGATTTCCTTTATTGTTTTTAAAAGCTCAGCTCTAAGTTCAAATGTAAAATAATGCTGATCTGCCCATTTTCACATACTGTAGCTTCACTATTGTATCAGAGAGAATTCTGGAAGTGTCCTAAGAGACTGCCTGCCCAAGTTTGGGCATTTTAACAAGTCTGTTCAAGTATATAGTATTGCCTTAAATATGTATTCTGCCCGTTCCAGCCTTGACCAGGATTGATTCACACGCTCTGCTTCTCAGCTGATGCTGTGAATATTTATTAAGTTGTGTTTCTCACCTGCTGGGTTTGAAAAATAATTTTGTTTTCTCAGAGAGAGTTTATCTCTGGAACAGCTGAGAGCAAGCTGAGAGTTTTATGTTTTGTGGACCTAGGTATTGTGCTATTAAGTTTCTGATGCATTTTTTGTAACATAACGTATACATTTTTCAGTGTGCATATCCAGGTCTCGCTTCTTACAG